CTTTGTCATTTTTTTGCCTGATACAAATGAAAATTGCAGGGATGGTAGCCCCTTCTGAGGGCATGAAGCCTGCCAAGTTTCAGGGAGTTAGGTGCAGGGGTTTCTGGGAAACTGCACCTCAAGCTGCTGACAAGCAAAACTGGTGTCACTTGCCGGCAGCGGCAGCCTCCTGTCATCCTGTGCACAGATCTGGGGGCCTTCATCCCTGGGAGGGCTGTGGGGTATGCTGGACTCCTCCCAGGGGTGCAGGCCCCTGGATCGCAAGTGCCCTCGTTTCGTTTTGAAGCTGTTTTTTGAAGGCTTTTAGTTTATTTTTATTTCACTGTTTCGAGCTCGAAACATGTTGAAACAGCTTTGAAATGAAACACCCAGTGAAATTTTGCACAGCCCTAGTGTGTATAATATATATATGTGTGTGTGTGTATATATGTGTATATATGTGTGTGTATCTATATAGATACATATGCTACATCATGACCCTAAAAGAATCTTTATACCGTCTGTGGTGGGACACAGATTGGTCAAACCAGAACTGTAGGATGCCTGATGACTCTCTACATTGCAGAAGATTTTATGTCAGTGTGTGGTGGAGCAGGACCAGAGCAGCAGGATGTTTAGATAGTATATCTGAGAAGCACAGTTTCCTAGTCCTTTGGGAAACTGCCTAATAGCAGAATCAATTGGGGTGTGCAAATTGTCATCATTTGGGATTTAAAAGTACATGCTAAACTATTGCTTTTTTGTGCGTTGTTCTTTAAGCCTCATGTATGCAAACACTGACTCGGATAACATGATTGAGAACAATTCATATAAGATTTTTTTTTGAGGACAGCCACTTTTGTTGACAGTTTGAACTCACATTTACAACATTAGAAGCCGGAAGAGTGTTTCAGTTTTTTGGGAGAAGAGAGTTGGTTTCAGCCCAGTAGCCAAAGGAGAGAGAGGAATAAGCAAACAAACCACCAAGTAGTAATGCTTGTGTATTTTTATTGCGCTAAATAAAAATTATTTTTTTGAGATCTCCAATTCTTCACTAAAGAAAGTAGCCACATCCAAATATGTCACTGACATTTATATTTTGTTTAGTAGAAATATAGGCATTACCTGCATATTCAGGCTGAGGGGTCTTCTATGTAACAATAACAATTGCACAGTGTACTAGCATGTTAACATGCAAGGTCTTTTAGGCTGTTACAATATTTCAGCATTGCAGTCTGACAAAGCAAGCTTCCAATCTAAATAATTTTTGACATCAGCATTGTTATCCAGAATAAGACAGTATTAGTGTGTTTGCTTTATGGAGGCAAAGACATACATAACACAATTTTTTATAGTTAGTATCTCAGTTTCTTATGGTAGTTTGTAGGCGCAGCTTCTGCATGGATATGTCTTGTACATTAAACCCAAATTAATAGCTATGGCAAGATATGCAAATACCAGTTTCTTCAAGAAGGAAGTAGCCTGAAGTTTATTAGGCAGAAGCAAGGAAATGCTGTATATATGTAGCAGGTAAATGAATGTTATCCACAGATTTCAATCTGTGAAATGGTGCATGGGAGTTGGATCCCTAGAAGAAATGTCAAATGCATGCGTGTTTAAAAACAAACAAACATGCAAAGTAAGCCCCAGAAGCATATCTTATTATGAAGTCCAGAAAGATGCTGAACCAACCTCAACTTTGTTTGGCTTCAGTAGAGACTGAGGGACTCAATTAACTGCTCAAATCATGCCTTTTGTGAAGTCAGGACTGGAGAAACTCCTTTTTAAATTATATGTATATATTTTCAAGTAGCATTCTCCTGCTAATCTGGGTCATACACTGTATTTCAAACCTGCCATTTTGGTGGAGATGTGGATTTTTACTGAAGATTGCAGAAAACCATTTGATCAAAACCAAAGCTTCATGCTGAGTAAGGCAGAAAGTCTAAGTTTGCAGAAAACTGAAATGTCAAATTGCACTAGGGTACCCACTGGCCTCATGGCCTCATTCTGTGACTAGCACAGAAGGCACCATCCAGAAGGAGGGGAGAGGAGCAGTATCTTTGTGTCTCCTGTTATCTGGGCTGTGGTTCAGGAACTGCTTTAACATGCAGCATTTCAGAGTAGTCAAGGCGCAAAGAATTGTTTTGCCATTCCCTCTCCTAGTCCAGTAATTTCTGTTTTAATAATATTTCTTAGAAGGATGTTGGGGGAGAGCTGTGTCTCATTCTGCACGAGAAAGGGGAATAGGAGGGGATGGGAGGTATTCTACAGCATATTATAAACATGAATCACCACTGAAACACTAAATAAGGCAAGGAAGGAACATTAAGCTGTAGTTGGGAATAACCCTGCAGAAGTAATAGATTTAATAATGGGTCCTAGTATAAGTAGAGAGGCAATCAAACCAATCATCAGAAAAAGAGCAGTTTGAAAACAAGTCAAAAGAAGCTCCTGTGTGTATATATTCTCCCTATGTGAAAAAAAAATTAAATAAAACCCAGAGGGGAAGAAAGTTATGGGCCAGCCTGGATGAGAGAAAAAGCCTACAAGGTTGGGAAAGCTCTCTCTGAACTCCACTACAGACTCAAAGCAAGCAACTGCACCAGCAAGCATGGGATATTGGTATTTAGGGCAAAGCTGAGAGGGGGGGAGAGAGCCAGCAGCCCTAGAACCCAAAGATAACTTCCCACACAAACAGTGTTTTATATGTGCAGTGAGAACTGTAAGTTATCAGTCTATGCATTAGCTTTAACACAGCTTCCAAGAGATCTGCCTAGTAAATTATCAAAACAGTAAGCTCAACGCCCACAGTGATGCTGTGTTCCTCCAGGATCAAAACTACCTGAAAAAAACATTGTAAGTAGCAAAAAGAATGTATTTAGAATCCTTGCATGTCACAAAATAATACTCTCTCGTTGCTAATGACAGTGTGGTCTCATACATGATTTTACCCAAAATTTTATCACAGATCCAGCAGAATTTTTAAGTCTTAGACCAACTCAGAATCTTGATTTTTAGAACCTGTGATATTTCCTATCTTCAGCTTGGCCTTCAACTTCCATGAGTACACGGAGTTGGAGTCTCCTTTTTTTCATGCATGTGCAAATAACACTGCCACTTCAAACTGCATTCAACGATCTCAGGATCTATGGAATGGGGGAATGAGAATGTACAAGAAACTTACAGCAGATAGCTTGAAGTGGAGTAGTGGGAGGTTGAGGGATGTGTACCAGGGATTGAGAGTGCATGCGAGGAGTCTGAAGGCAGAGCAGGGGGATATAGTGGGTGCAGGGAAAGACTGAGATACAGGCAAGGGAACACAGGGTGCAGGATGGAATTTCAGGGTTGTAAGGGAGTGTGGAGGGTGCAACAGACAGTGCAGGTGGAGACTTGAAGGGAGTTTGGTCTTTTTGCAAAGAGGAGGGTAAAGGCTAGAATTGTGAAGGAAAAGGGAGCAAATATATGGGCTGGGTGAATGTAAAGGCTAGAGAGACTGTGAGTGAGTATGTAGGGACAGGAAATATGAATGTAGGAGGAGACTTTGAGGGGGCAGACATGGAGGGGGAATGAATAATATGTCAGTTCTCTCACTACTGGGTTTAGGAGAGAGGAAGCCAGTGAGGAAGCTCACTGTGTTTCACCATCTCATGTTGAATTTTGACCCTGAAATATTCCTGCATGGTCTGAAGCCAGTCAACTCCCTCCAAAAGGCTAAAGAAAAGGGCAAATTTAAAATATATATGTAGGACATTTAATTTGTAAATTCTAATGATTTTTAAAACCAGCTCCTAAATTTAGGGACCTGTGCTTATGCCTTTTAAATGTGTAGGGTTCACAGTATTGTGCTGGATAAAATAAGATAATCATGGTTACTTGTTACATGTATTTGATCAATCTTTTATCTTCAGTGCTTTCTAAAAGAATGTCATTATTAGAAATAATTAAATAGTTTGAATCAGTAAAGAAGAGAGATGTAGATTTTCCCCCTCTCCTGCATTTCAAAGTGGCTTTGTTGAGAGGATGAAGAGAAACTACTGGCTTTGAGGATGGGGAAGAATGTTAAAAGATTTTTCTTGATTAGTAGTAGTTTCCTGCAGAAATATTACAAAACACTCAACTGAGTTCATGACATTTCTCTGCTGCCTTCCACAAGTAGATTTCAAAGCCTTTAGTATTTATAAACATTATTAACAAATCAACATATTAAGCCTCTCAGCATCATGTGAAATAGATTGGTATTGCTTGTCTCATTTACGTGTGAGGAAATGGCTCAATTTTCCCTGGGTCATTTTTTTTTTTTTTTTTTTCCTGGAGTGGTTCCCAATCTCCCTGTGAGAAATAACAACTGGCAAAGGCTAATAAATATATGTAAATCCTGGAGGTGGTGATGGTCATGATTTATATGGTAGTATGCCTGACACAGGGGTAGTCATCCAGAATAAAGGTAGAAAGTAAGTATGCTTTTACTGAATTTTTACCATGGTCTTAAAGCTGCCCTAGTGTTTGTGTTGATTACATGAAAAGACATTATGTATTCACTTCCTCAGACAGTAATGTGCTTGCATAACCTCTTTCAAACTCTAGTTTGGATAACTCATGTAAACTCAGTCACAAGGTAAACCCTGAGCTACAGTGCAATTGGAAGAGGGAAAACAAACATGGGACAAAGAGGTGAAGATGTTTTAAATACATGCATGAAAAGAAGTTTCTTGAGTAAATAAATCATAGGTTATGCTAAACTGAATGGCTTGTCCTTTTGGGAATGTGTGAAATATAGCTGAAACTGGAGGCATAAAAGTTTGGTACAGTGTTCCCAGTTGTAAAAAAACAAAAGCATGTTTGCTGGAAAGATCAGATCAAATCCAAAATCAAAATGAACAAAGCCTACTCCCCGCAACTGGTGAAATAGCTGTATAATTCTGTATCCAAATAATTGCCCAAGATAATTATACATTTTTATGTGGCCCATGATACAGATATTTATCTGTAACCAATCGTCTCTTTTGCTTGCATGTTAGGTGCAGAGAGAGTTGGCTGCTGTCATTGCTTTGAAAGCAAGAAAGTCAGGTAAGTGCAGTTGGCCTTGGTGCTTTTATAATGTCATTCCCCTGTCGTATATTGAAGTATTTGATTCTTCATTGTCAACTTTATCAAAATTTTTGTTGTATTGAAAAGCAATGCTAGTGATACCGAACCTCACTTCCTGTTGAGTGAGAAAATAGAATTTTTTGTATACAACACAAATAAATTAATGACTGTGGTTTTACTTTTCCCTCTTGTTGCATCTAATATGCCACCTGGTAAAATGTAGTGGTGCTACAGTTCTGAGCATGTGGAGTCTTTAGCTCTGCCTCAGTTCAGATTTTGTGTGTTTGTTTCTATTTATCAGATTCTTAAGCATTGATTTGGTTTATATGTTTCTTATAAACATGGTTTTAGATAGTGATTTCTTTTAAACTTTAAGACTCTTGTTTTGAGGCGCAGGGTATAGCTGTTATATAGATGTTTTATGTACTCAACAAAAGGTATTGCCTTAACTTAAAAAAAAAAAAAAATCCCCCCTTGATGTTCCACACCTTGTTATTTAAAGCACTCACTTGTTGTGTCCTGAGATCTTGTGCCTAGTTTCCTGGACAGTTGTTCCTAACCAAAGTAAAGTATTTGAGAATAAGAGACAGTCTTTTTTCTGTCCTGCAAGGTACCCAGAGTTGTGTGAGCTGCTCATCGTTCTCATCTTCCACTGAATTTTAGTATGTGTCTCTGGTTTATATAACAAACATATCACCTGACCTCCCAGATCTTAGTCTTAACAGGAGCATTGGCATACCCCAGTCAAAATCTGCAAACTTGGCTGCAGCCACTACCCAGTGCCTCTGGGAAGGTGAACCCCTTCATCTGCCCATTGCATTATTTTGTTGACAAAGGAAAAGAAATGTTGAGGTGTTTGTGTTGGTGTAGATTGTCATACCTTGATCCAGTAACCCAGGGATGGAGGTGCTCACCCAGGATATAGGAGGGTGTAAATCCTTCCTCTGCCTGAGAGGGCTCCAATCCCTGACCTCTCCCCACCTTGGGGTGAATTATGTAGCCAAGGTAGGTTACTGTCTATGGTGAGGCTGCTCTGCTATTTATAAACAATTAGGTATTCATTGGGGTAGCACAAGAGAGCTTGGCAGTGGTTATGTAGGCTTTTGTCAGGGTTGTGGTTCTCACCCTTTTTAGGCTTCTACAGCAGTTTTCCTTAACTTATCTAAACCCCATTTTCCAGGATGCTGGACTAGGAGGTGGCTTGGCAGGAGTGGGTGTTCTCACCTGCATTAGGTTATTTGATAAACCTAATGCAGGCTGGAGCACCCTGTCCTTTTAAAGGTACCACATTGCTGTTTGTTTGTGCCTCTGTTTTCAGGGGCTAGGGACAGGTATTACACACAGCTGTTTAACTGATCAGAAACTAGTTTAAACCTGTAACAGAACAGGCATTCAGTGAACATAAACCATTTTGAAAATGGCTTAAACTGGTTTGAGATAAACCTGGTTGAATATAGTATCAGACTTAACTGATTTGGGTCAAACCGGTTTATGCAGTGTCTGTCCCAGACCCCTTCCTAGTTTAACTTAAACCAAAGTCCCCCAGAATCCCAAATGCTTTGCAGCCCTGGGCAGGGCTCTGTGCTCCAGTTTAGCAGTGCTGGCCCTGCCCCTCTACTCCCTGGCTGGAGCGCCAGCAGAGACTGCAGGTACAGCAGCATCTTGCCTGGCTTCCTCCTGCTCCCCCCCTTCACCACTCCCTCCTCAAGCAAGGATTCCCCCCTCCACTGTGCCTTACACAGACACCTCTTAGCAGTAGCTAGCATACCACATGCTACCTACGGTCTCTGCTGTGGGAGATGGGACAAAGGCAGACAGGACAGTGTCCGCTAAGGGCTTTTTGGAGCTAATCAACAGGTAGCTGGTAATGTCCCTCTGTTCCTTCCTTGGAAAAAGTTGTTTAAGAAGAGCTTGACCTAATGAGAGAGGCTTTTGTTTTCTGATAGGGTCATAAATGCCATCAACTTCCTGTCATACAAAAAACTAGAACTCTTGGTTCCAAAATTATACCTTTTATTAGACCAACTGGAAAATGTCAAGAAAATTGTCCTTTTCTGCAAACTTTCGGGATCAAAGTCCCTTCATCAGGCTCTGGGAAAAGTGTAGATGGTACAAGATGGTAAAAAGTCCCCATAGGTAGGAAATAAACTTCATTTTTACAGAGGGAGCTGAAGATGGAAGTCTGTCCCTCTGGGTCCATGAGAGTGTCTTTGTGAGCTGTGTTGAGTAGCTCTTTGATGTGTTGATCAGGTAGAATTCCTTCCCTGAAGGTGTCAGATGTGAGGCAGGGAGGTAAAAAAAACTTCCTTGTTGTTCTGCAATGAAGTTTAAAATCTAAAATCAACTTCCTGTGTAATTCCCAGCTGTGTATCTAAATGCTGTTGTCAACTGCCTGCTGGCTCTCTCCTGGTCAGGAGCATGATGTGGGGAGGAACCCCTCCCTAATCGGAGCGTCCTCTCAGTTCAGCACTGTGGAAGGGATAGATACTCTAGCGCCAGCTTCCAGCCTGAGCCACTGTAGGCATGTACCTGCATTTTCTCAGTCCAGAGGGGATGTCTGTGCAGCTACAAACCGGTTCAGCCTAGCCAGGTTAGACTAACCTGCAAAGATTGAATCAATTCAGGCTCAGGCTTTTCCAATGTCTGGCCCTAGCCAGGAGTGCATGTGGGGCCAGACCAGGAAATGGCTGTGGCAGGTGTGCTCCTTCCTGCATTAGATTTATCTGCACCCCTTCCTGCTGCAGCTGCTTCCTGGTCTGGCCCTGCACTTGCTTCCTTGAAACAGAGGTGGGTGGGGCATTTTCATCTGGCTGTGATGGTACCCTTGAAAGGGTCTTGTGGCACCCCAATTGAAAATTACCATGTTAGGGCACTCGCATGGGAGGGAGGAGATGTTGGTTCTAGCCCTTGATCCAATTATTATGAAGTACTTTAAACAAAATGGAACAGCTTCAAGTGGAGACAGATCTATGGCAAACCTCCATAATTTAGTAGGGCATCCTGATTGGGTATATGGGTTCTGATCCTTTCAGATAGCAAAGGGATTTGACCCAGAGTTCAGTGTCTTCTTTGCTGGCTGCTAGGGGAAATAGAAGGGGCACCACCACTTCTTCCTCTTTGCTGGCTTTATGATGCTAAGTCAGGCTCTTTATTTTGGTTATTTTGCTTTCATTGAAACTAGCCAAACTGGAACTTTAAATTTTTGTTCATCCCCAAATAAATAGTTTTTTAGTGTTTTTGTTTTGGTGAGAGAGTGATTTTTTTTGAGCCATTTTTTTTTGTTTATTTTGGTGCGGTCCTTAACACGAGAAATTAAAACACACATAATACATACTAGTCACATTCCTTAATGCATTGTTGTAAAGCCTTAAGTGGTATTAGAACCTGTACAGAATTGATAACATGGAATTGGCTTCAATCGTGGTATAGTCGAAGAGCCATTGAAGTCGTTGGGAATCTTTTCATAGCCCTCAGTGGTTACTGTTTTGAGATTTTTAATAGGAATTGATGTTATGGACCTTGCAGTTTAGGTTCATATTCTATGTATCTGGACTGTTATTGCATATAGCCAAGGCTCAATAATACTATGCGGGTTCCAAGTACAGTAAGAATGATATTGTACATATGTAACACAAAGCTTTAACCTTGCCTCCTTTTCTGTGTCTGCAGTTTGTCTGCAAAACTTTCAGGTACAAATGCAGACACTTAAAAGACGTTATTTGTTTGTGTAGTCAGATGCACATCTCTCTAAAAATAATTAGTAGATTATATAATGCAAAAAGTATATGTTCAGTCATCTGTAGCTGTACTTTGCAGATTCTGAAGGGAGGCTGTACTTTGAAATTCAGGACCATGTTGTGATAAGGTGCTCCTAGTTGACACGTGGCTGACAAGCTTGTAGATTACCAATTACTTGGTCCGTTTCTCTATTAATATCCAATTTTTCTTTAACTCTTGGGGGTTCTTAATGAATTCCCAAAATCAGATGGTATGTTGGAGTAAATTTTGCTGCTGTCTACTCCTCTCTTCTTAGGTGACATCATAATATCAAAATGTGTCCTGAAGGTTATGTTGTCTTGGAGCTCATCTGTTTTATACTGGCTAAAGCATGGACACAGCTATACCAGGGTAGAACAACTTTTTTATCAATATACTTTTTACAGAAAAAGGAATAACTATCAGCACAAGTCTCATCTATGCTGGTGTAAGTGCTTCTACTCTATGTAGGTTAGACAGGTTTAAACAAAATCCAAAACGTACCTCTATGAAATATTATTAGTAGAACTTATATGTGTTGGCTAAGTCCTCTTAATTTATTGTTATAAGCATTTGTGAGACCAGCATAGATTTGCAAAAATATACCACTTTTGTCCATTTAACTAGCATATGCTTGCTTCTGTAATTTGTGTGTTTGCTGCTTTATGATGGCGTACTGCTTGAAGAGTGACTGAAGGATCAAGGATGACTTTAATTAACTTAACATCTTTATTGTATTAGGAACAGAGTGAATTAAGACAATTAATTACTTTTATTTACTTTTATTGCTGTTGCTTAAGGTCATGGCCCAAGCTTTACTATTAGTAACAGCCATCGTTATCTTTTTTCCCTGTATTAGGCCGAGAGAGGCCTATAGCCTGACTCACAGTGACAGTGTAGTGGAGGGAGTGAGCTTGTTAACAGTATAGTAAGGTCTGAAAGCCTTACAACTTTCTTTGATGCAGTTTTCTAACCTTGTTCAAAATCCTGTACAGGATTACAGGAAATAAACAGCTATCAAATAAAGAAAATTTGGGGCCAGATTCTCTTTTAGCATCTGTAACAGGGCTCTATCCCCCTTATTTCAACTCACTTCTGGGAACAGTCTCCCCTTCACTCTTCTGCCATGTCTTGATGTTCTTTCTGGTTCTCAAAGAGAAGGCTACCCCAGGGCTTCCTAGATCTGGTCTTCACTCCAAAGAACAACCAGAGGTGGGGAGTTC